TATTTTAATTTTTATACTCGGGTCGAATACGAATATGTCCAAAACCCGACCCGATTCGACCCTTCGGAGCACTAATTACTTTTTAAACAATATTTTTAAGCTTTTTGCAAATTGAATTTAAAGTTATGATATCATTAAATTTATCACGCTTCTAAGATGAAGTTAACTAACCATTATTAAATTATACTTCACGATCTAATGTTTTGATTCATGATGTAATGGATATGCGAATATAACTATATAAATTAAGCTAAGATGTGGCCATATTTATTGACAAATATAGTGTGTCATGCGTAAAAATTTGCAGTTATTAATATATTAATAAATGTTGTACAAATAATTAAAAGAAAAGTCTAGTAACTTCGTCTTATTCTTTGCAGACTCGACAGAAAGAAATCCTATCCTTTTCGTATAATGTCCATAGTCTCCACAAACCACATGTCCACAGTATAATACATACGTCCCGTTCTCCAATCCATGATTGCATTTAGAGCAAGTCACAATCGTATCTTTATCCAAATCTGTGAATCCTTCACGTGGTGATGGTAAATATTCACGTTCTTCTTCAGTTTGAGGACGTATCTGGTCGTGTAAATGAATTCTTCGGCGAATTTCTGCTTGATATTTGGCTCTATATTATCATAATCATCTGAAATGTATATTATTTCAGTTTGTCCCTCATTTTCCTCGTTCTCTTCATTGTCATCCACGAGATCAATATAGATAGATACGTTGTATCGCATTCTGGGTGTCATTTTGAGAAGATGAGTTATTGGGAATTTTCGGGTTGAACTCGCTCTTCACTGTCACTCAATTCAATTACTTCAATGATTCTCTATTATTCACCATCATCCACAATATCAATGTAGATGGGTTGTACTATCACTCAACTCAATTACCTCCTCAACCGTAGGTGCTGGTTCATTACCATTCATCGACGTTTCTCCTGCTTCTTCAACGCTGAAGCTAATTACCTCGCTCCGACCCAAATTTTTAGAACTTGTCGTTCGTGAAATTCTATCGTCTCTACGATTGAAATGATTTCGTGCCATTCCAGTGTTGTTGTCTTGCATGTTTTGTGGCTGAATTCGCTTACCACTTCTGCTGTCCTGAATTCTATAAGGTTGTGCCATTTTCGCTTGTGTGAAAGTTGGTATATCGTATATGGCCGAAAGAAACCTATTTGGTGATCGTCCAGCAGTTCAACGGAAAAATATATTTAAAAAATGAAAACACTATATACAACGACGGGGGAGAAAAGCACGGCGAAGAGAAAGAGTAATAAGGTCTGTGCATAGCAGAACCAATTATTAAGTAGTTATTCACTACAAACTATCACTACAAGCGTATAGGTGACGAATGAGGACTGGACAATTCTGTGGTCTCAACAAAAACCAGGTCGTTGATTTACCTGTGGCTTTTTTTGATACTACTTACTACTAGTCTTAGTAATTCGCATCTTCGCCTTTGTTTGGTTGATTCTGTCTCAGCGTAATTGACGATGATAATAAATCTCCATGTATTTTAGATAATGGGTTTTTTGTACTTTTGTGTAACCAAAATCAACATAACAAGAAAATATATATCGATACAGTACCAATATATGGCTCGGCGCAAATGTGATATGAGCTATCAAAAATGCGTTTTTATTTAATTAATTGCCAAATTGTAAGATTTTTATTTGATTTATGCTTGTCATCTCTAATATATATGTTTTTTTATTGTTTGATTTTGTGCAGATGAAAAATGTAAATCATGAAAGCTTCACGAATATCAAAATTATGTTGATTGCAAACACATTGATACACCGTAGCATGGAATTAGTGCCCTAGCCACGGCAAAAAAACATGATTCCAGCCTGATACCGAATTAATCCGGAATCTGGTCCTGACCATCTATACCATCTTTGATAAAAATTTTTTTATTGCAAGAAATTAATATCCTACAAATCATAATAATTGCTTGTTTCGTAAATATAATAAAAATGAAATTTACAACTTTCTCATTAAGATCAATGTAACCAAAATGCAAGTTTTCCATTCTTTAAGCTCCAGCTGTCCTGCTGGTTATGAGCTTGTAGTGCTTCCTGACACTCTTTGACCGCTTTCATTGTTGGCTTCATTAAAGAATCAAAGGCATCTATAAATTTATCATTATCAATTTCTCGTTCATATAATGCTGACGCAGTGTCCATTACTTTTTTATATTCTGCAAGCTTTTCTCATCTTTTATTTATTAGATCATGTCTTGTTTCTATGGATGTATTTTGCAAGAAGCTGGTATTTAAGTTAATTTCCTCAATAGAATCATCTATATTGGTCATTTGATATCTGGTCCATGGATTATTTCGTAAAGTAATTACAGGTAATTTGTCCTTTCTGAAGATTAGAAAAGAATAATCACATCGGCGTATTGTCTCTGCAAAGGTTGGCAAGAATTTAATACCATTCATCTTTGCAACAAGATGTTTACAAATGAGGTAATGGCTATACAAGAATGCTGAACAAGAATACATCTAATTATTCACATCTATATGATATTTTTCATCTATTCAAGGTTCAATTTTCGTGGATGTTGCCATATTCAGTCTTTCTTGAATGCATTTCTTCACCAGGCTGGAAAACTTTGATTTGTATTGTACTGGATAAATTTTAGCTATAAATCAGATACTAGCTGCTCTACAAGAATTTGCATAAGTCTATCATACTGTGATCAGTTATAATTATATTTGTATTTAAGAATGTGTCAGTGGTTTTCTGTTATCATGATGGTCTGTGCTAATGATATAGCTACCGGATATACTAACTGAGCAAAAAGCTTCCAGTTTTTCTTGTTATATCAGTTTATTCATAGGTAACTCCATAATTCAACAAGATTAAGATTATAATAAAACTGGTAAATCTTCTTTATGCAGTTATGATATATCTCTGAAGCATTCAAGAAAGTATTTTTGGCCACAGGTATAAGTGGATAGCATTTACATAATTTTTTATCATATTCAAAAGTTTTTTGATAGAATCTTCTGGACAAAAAACTTTAGTATTTCCTCTTGGTATCCAGGAAGAATCTATAAATAATGAGCTTTTAATATCTTTACTACTGTATATTCACTTGTTTTTAACTTCTTATCTCTTAATCTTTTATTAATAAAATGCTCTAAATATCAATAGTATAATTGAATATTGATTATTCACAATTATACTTCACTAATAGTTGAGATCTCTCCAGCATCTTTATTAGTTAAATCAAATACTAGCAGCAATCTTATTTGCTGAAGTTTAGTAAAAACTCATGTAAAACTTATATTCTGGTATTAATTTAATTTTCAGAATTGTAAAGTGTCATATTAGAACCAGTAAGTATTAAAAATATAGATATATCAAAGACATATCATATTTATCACAATTAATATTGATAACAAAAAATTCAAAATATTCTGAATATTCTAAATATTGAATCCATAATAATCTTATTTATATTTTAATATCAATATAATTAAGTAATGAAATTATGAATTCAAGAGTCTTCACATAATAATTTTCAAGATAGTAAAGAGTTTAAATCTCTTTTTATAAATTCAGGCTGATCAAGATATAATTTTATTAATAAAAGCTCATTATTAAAATTTATAATATATATTTGCTTACAAAAAATAAATATTCAATAGTATATCTATTTTTTTGTATATATTTTAGAATTAATATATTCTTTTTTATAAAGATATTTATAAAGCTCAGAATTTTATAGATTATATTAATAAATAGAAGTTATATTATATATAAAAACTTTTTAAAATAAAGTATATAATAAATTTTTCTAATTTTTATGAGATATAAGAAAAAGAGATGCATTAAGAGTTTTATTATTATTATTATTATTATTATTTTATTTTAGTATGCTATAGTATAATCAAGCTTTATATATAATAAGCTAAACTAAAATATAAAAATTATAGCTCTTCTAGAAAAAAGCTTATTTATATAATAAGAATATACTTCTAGTAATATAGTTTAAATTGACTAGCTATTAACTAGACTTATTCAAGATTATACTATAGTATAATCTTAATATATAATATAAAGATAAATATAGTTTATATATCTTATTTAAAATAATAATTTAAATATTAAGAAGAAATATGTTTAAATTCAAAAAATTTTCTATAATAGAGTCTAAATTCTTAATATTAAAATATAAAATTTCATTATTTCTTTAATATACTAATTTAGACTATCTAATAGATTAGTATAAGAAAGAATAGTTAAAAAAAATTAAGAGATATAAAAAAAAGTAAAAGAAAAAAATGAGAAATTTTGAAGTATGTAAGAGATAGAAAAGTATATAAAGTAAAGAAATTGATATATCAGAAATAGAAAAAAAGAAATTATCTGTAAATTAATTATTATTTAACTTTAATAAAAATATTAGAATTATATATTTGAATCTTAATCAAAAATTATTCTCAGCTTAATATGCAAGAAAAAATAAATAACAAAGATAGAAAAAAATCTTCAGATTAGTATAGTATAAAATATTATAATAAGAATAATTAATTAAGTTAATAATTATATTAGAAAATAGAAAATATGAATCAGTTATTCAAGTTAAAATTAGATTATAATTTAATTAATAAAAAGTAAAATAAAATTTAAATTAGTTAAATTTCTGGTTAAAAAAAACTAGTCAAATATATAAATAATAATATATATTATAATCAAATAAGAATATATGAATTTAATATGACAAGAAAAATTATATATATAAAATAATATGATTTTATGAAAATATTATTAGTATAATAATATAATATAATATTCTAATATAGAAGATATATAAATAAAAATATAAAATGAAAGTAGAAGTATATAAATGATAAAAAAATCAGAAGAATTACAAGTAAGAAAGTCAGAAGATAAAATATTAAATATGAAAATCTGCAAAAAGTAAAAATAAAAGAGAAATTTATAAGATAAAAAAAATAATATTTATTAGATAATATATATAAAATTAAAAATAAAATTCCAGACTTAATCAGATAAGAATAGTAATCTAAATATTAATTTTAATACTAATTACTAAAGATTATAAAAATAAATAACTGTGATAAAAAAGAAAGAAAGATAAAAAAAGAAAGAGAAGTATAATAAAAAAATATTCTATACTTATCTAGATAAGAATAGCAGTTTAATTATTAATATTATAACTTATAATAAGTTAAATAGAAAAAATAAGTTAATAATTTTCATACTATAAAAGATAAAAATATAAAAAAAGAAAAAAATATATAAAAAAAATTTATGTATATAGTAAAGTAGGTATCAGACAAGAAAGAAGTAGTTTTCCAGATTAATAGATTCTAATATATAACTTATTTTGTAATAAATAAAAATTATATTATGTAAAAACTCTTTAAAATAAAGTATATAATAAAATTTTCTAATTTTTGTAAGATATAAAAAAAAGAGATATATTAAGAGTTTTATTATTATTATTATTATTATTATTATTATTATTATTATTATTATTATTATTATTATTATTATTATTATTAT